AAACCAACAACATATATTAAGTAATGTGTCCTTAACTAGAAACACCCATAAAACAAGGTTATGTGTTGATTAATTGTCAAAAATGTTATGATCAGTGGTTTGTAGAAACCTGACACTGTATTCCCTCTAGAAGCAATAGTTCAGGATTTACCAATTCACTGTTTGTGGTGATGATAGAACACAACTATGATTGACATATCATTAGTTCAATAATGGGAATTGACTCTGTATTCTGTACATTGGTTGGAAGACTCAACTTTGTTAAAATGTTGATTTTTACCAAATTAATGTACAGATTAAAGAAAATTTTACTCTAATCCTTGCAGGCATTTTGTTTAAAAAAAATTGTTCATAGACTTTTAGAGATGGAGGGAGAAGAGAGAAACATCAATGTGAGAACACATTGATAGGCTGCCTCCTGCACACACTCTACCAGGGACCAAGCCCACAACCCAGGCATGTGCCTGACTGGGAATTGAATCAGCAACCCCTGGTTGCCCGGGACAGTGCCCAACCAACTGAGCCACAACAGCCAGAGCCTTGCAGGCATTTTTGCCTAAAATAAAATGCATGTTGCCCTAGCCAGTTTGGCTCAGTGGATAGAGCATTGGCCTGCAGACTGAAGGGTCCCGGGTTCGATTTTGGTCAAGGGCACATGTCTGGGTTGCAGGCTCTATCCCCAGTAGGAGGTGTGCAGGAGGCAGCCGATTGATGATTCTCTCTCATCATTGATGTTCCTGACTCTCTTCCTCTCCCTTCCTCTGAAATCAATAAAAATATATTTACAAAAAAAAGTTCCATCTTTAAAAAAAAAATTCATGTTGAAATGCAAGAACTTAGAATAGCCACAACATCTAAGAACAATGTTGGGTGGGGGGCAACACTACTTAATTTCAAGAATTATTATAAAATTACAGTAAAAGTAGCATTGGCATAAAAATGACAAATAGGCTAATGAAACAGGAGGTAGGTAGTCCAGAAATAAACCCACTTACATATAGGTAATTGATTTTGACCAGCCATTAAACAATATAGTGAAAAAAATATATAGCCCTTTTCACAAATAGTACTCAAACATTGTGTATCAATATGCAAAAAAATAAAATTGAATACATACCTTGCACTGTATATAAAAATTAATTTAAAATGGCTCAGAGACCTAAATATGCACCTGAAATTGTAAAGCTGCTAGAAGAAAACATAGGAGAAAATCTTTGAGATCTTAACTAGGCAATTATTTCCTAGTTACAACACCCAAAGCACAACCTGTAAATGAACAAATTGATTAATTAGACATTATTAAAGTCTGTTTTTCAAAAGACACTGCTAAGAGAATAAAAGGAGATGCCACATACTGAGAAAAAATCTTTGCCAAACGTATACCTGATTAATACTAGTACTACTTGTATTTAGAATATATAAAGAACTTCAAATAAAACAATAAGGAAAAGAAATAACCCAATTAAAATGGGTAAAATATTCAGATAGACACTTCACTACAGGATATATATAGATAGCATATAAAAAATGAAAATATGTTCAACCTCATTAGTCATTAGGGAAATACCAATTAAAACCGCAATGGGAATGCACCTGTTCGAATGGCTAAAGTGAAGAAGACTTTACTAAGGTCCAAATGACCATACCAAATGCTGGCAAGGCCACACTCTTCTAGCAGGATTGAAATCCCACGGTAGCTTCATTTGAAAAGTCAGAGATTGTAGGCATTACACTTAGGGCCCGCTCCCCCCCCCCCCATTACAGTTGACATACAATATTATATTAGTTTCAAGTGTATAACATAGCGATTAGACAATGACATAGTTTACGAAGGATCCCTCCATAACTGTAGTGCCCATCTGACACCATACAGAGTTGTTACAATATGACTGAGGATATTCCCTCGGCTGTACTTTACATCCGGTGACTGTTTCATAACTGATTTAGGAACTGCTTTGAAACAGGTCCTGCAGCATCTTTGTGTTTTCAAGAAATTTGATGGCACTGGTAAGAGCTTTGTCAAGTAGTTATGAGATTTCTGATTAAATAGAGGAACAGCTATTTACAGTTTTAATCATTTTGTAAAACAAACAATTTCAGCCAGGATTAATTATTTTTAAATTTGCCAACTTGAAACAGTTGCAGTTTAGCTATAAAGTTTTATCAAAGTGAGGTCTTGCAGGTGCTTTGCATACCCTTCATGCCCAAACTTCATTCACACATTAAAATGTTTTATTGGGTGCATGTTATTTTTATGAAGCAGAAAGTCAAAATTAGTGGAATATAAGTTTAATACCATGTTATTAGTTATAGCACTTTACTTTAATAGATTTCAAGCCTGTGCTGTTAAAACTTTTCTTACTGGCCCGGCCGGCATGGTTCAGTGGTTGAGCGTCGATCTCTGAACCTGGAGGTCACGGTTCGATTCCCCGTCAGTGCATATGCCCCGGTTGCAGGCTCAATCCCCAGTAGGGAGCGTACAGGAGGCAGCCAATCAGTGATGATCTCATCATTGATGTTTCTATTTCTCTCCCTCTCTGAAATCAATGAAAATATATTTGAAAAAACCACCCTTTTCGTACTGTAAAGTTGTCACATTGTGCTTGCCATGTTCCTAGAAGCTTTGCCATTGTAACAGATGAATGTGCAGCATTGCTGAGTTATCAACATTGTACACTAACAGCACAGATGCTAGTTCAGTGTTATGCAAAATTGCCTGATTCTTACCAGACTTTAATATTTTATCATTTTTAATAAATTTGTCGTTTTTTGTTTGGCTTTTTTTGATGTTCAGGTAGCTGTGTTACCTGTTGTACTTGAGTATTTAATGTCATAGTATGCTCGGACCAAAACTGATTATAGCCCCAGGTCACCTTGTATTTGATACAATGACTGGCTCTGGAACCATTTATGCAATGTTTATCTGAATGCTACCCAATGGGCTAAGTAAAATGCAGGTTTCTTCAAAACCCCCTTGACTTACTCTTGTCTTTTTTGTGTTGTTCCAAACAATAATGATTACTAGGTTGTTGTTTTGTTTTGTTTTTTTGGCTTGCAAGCCACTTAGAATGGTTTAATTGTAGAATCAGTTGTCATCTGTATTGGCCCTGTAGTTGATTTCTTAGATTCTCTTTCCTTTTACTTCTACTCTTTTAGGTATTTATGTAGTTTTCCTATAAATCATTTCTTAATCATAATGATTGTGATAGAGTTATTACATGAATTTATTGGTCCTGCAAAGAGCATTAAAAAGTTAAAAGAGTACAATTTTCTACATTAAGTCTTGCCATATAACATTTGAACATGAAGTTCCTAAAACCAGTTGTTTCCATTCATTTAATGTGTTCTCCGTACATTGTGACTCCAGTTAGAGCAGGAAGCAATCCACGTGCATGGTGTAACACTGATTCATGGGAGATGAAAGAAAAACTAAAATGCAGCTAATGTGTCTGTAAGTGAGAAGAAGGAAAAACATAGGGTAAAATAACTTAATATGGTATTAGGAAAATTTCTGAAGCTGTAATATAATTTAGGATACCATACATTTAAAAATCTTAACCTCATAACAGCCGGTGAGTTAAGTAGGATAGATTTATTGCCTTTACTTTGCAGATAAAGAAGAGAAGGCTTAGGAAATTTAAGTGAAAATCATTAAGACCTTGCAGGTTAGGAAAGGATTTCCTAAGGCCTGAAAAGCACAGTCCATAAAAGATTGATTAGTAGTTTTTTTAAAAAAATATAAAATATATGAAATGATCAATAGAAAGGACAGAAGCAATTCCCAGAAGAGGAAACCCAAATGATCAATAACACGAGAGGATGAGTAGCCTCACTTGCAATGTGTGGATGCAAATTAAAAGAGGGGTGGGTAGGGGGACAATAATGGGATACTATTTGTCAGATATTAGATTATCAAAATTAAAATACCCGACCATACTGTGTGTTTTCAGGGTTGAGAGAGACGGTAATTATCATGTTGCCGGGGAAGGTAATTGGGTACAGTTATTCTCAATGCCACTTGGTAGCGTATATTTACCTGTGCGAGTGAAGAATTTGAAGCAGTCTAAATCTCTGTCGGTAGGGGAGTGGGTTAAGAAATGGATATGATCTTGTGATGGAAATTATACAGCAGTTAAAAGTGATGTACTGAATCTATATAAGTTACAATTGCAAAAACATAATGAAGAGTGAAGAAAGTTATGAAAAAGATATATTATTACTATTTATGTGGCTATAAAGCCATATATATCAAGACTGTATTTCTTCCTGGATATGCATGCATGCATTTAAATATATTTAAAATATCCTAGAGGGATATATTCTGAATTCATATAATTTTGGTTTCTAGATAAAAGGAACTTAACTGTAAGTTAATACTGTTTTTTTTTTTTTATAAGACTTAAAGGAAACATGGAAAATGTTAATTTCAGTTCTGGATGCTAAGGACGTAGGCATTTGTTAAATTATTCTTTCTACTTATACTTTCAAAATTTTGTTTAAAAAAATAAAAAGAAGTATTATGAAATAGTAGTTGAAAAAACTAGTACTTAAATATAGGATTTGCTTCCCAAGTCTAGAGCTTTTCAATTAATATGCTGCCTCAAGATGAGAAGATACTGAGTTTTATAGTAATAAGAATCAGGAGGATTATATGTTTATGCTAAAATTTTTTAAGAGGAAAGAAAAGTTACAAGATAAGTTAGAAATTGTTATTATCCTATATTATTTAAAAATCTTTAAGCATGCTGTTATCATATATGTATAGAGAGCAACCTCAGTACTTAGAAAAAGTTACCTTAATGTATTGTTTAAAATGTGATTCATATTTCTGTTGCATGTAATGGAAGACATTAGATGATTTGAAATTTTAATATAAAATTCATGAAAATAACTTAATCCAAATAGACAATCTGACTTCAAGCTAAAAGAGTCAAAATGAGCTTTTCTTCCATTGTGTAAAGTCAAGAGTGCCAAAAACTTCACAGCCTTTTTATTTACAGCTTCTCTCCAAGATAAAATGGCAAAACCCAAAGAGAAAACTCCAATGTGTCTGGTAAATGAGTTAGCCCGTTTCAATAGAGTCCAACCCCAGTATAAACTTCTGAGAGAAAGAGGGCCCGCTCACGCGAAGGTAAGGTTACGAAGCCAGGCGGTGAGACGCGCTTCTCAAAGTCTATCAGATTTATCATCTCAGGTTTTCATTGTGCTTCATTTTTGGGGGCGGGGGCGGCAGATGTCCTGAAGGCTCTTAGTTCCATATTAAAAATATTTTGAACTCTGTAACTGGACAGCTTTGTAGCTTTTTATGGTTTACAAAACGTAGATACAGTACTTCCCCAAATCACATGAGATACGGCTTTTTGATTTTCTTTTTATAAACTAAGAAACTCAGGCACAGAAAAGTTAAATGACTTGCTTAATAGTTCATAAATGCCCGTGTCAACATTGACTATGTGTTCTTTGGCTCCCAAGTGTAGTGCTCTTTCCGTTAAATCATAGCTGCTGCAGTAACACTGCGAGTACAGCGATGGTTACCTAGGAGTGAGACATCTTTTCCATTGTTTAATTCCGAGACTCACCATTTATGGAAGTTGTATAACCAGTATTGTTATTATCTGTGCATTCACTTGTAATATTGTTCTTTTAAATGGAAAAACAACTTATATTTCTATATATAGCCTTATACATGTATGTTTACATATATACCTGTTACAAAGAAATCTGTAGCTAGTGCATATGGGTTTAAAAAAGTCTCAGTTGTGCAAAAAATTCCTTGGTACATTTTGAATCTTGGATATTAAAGATTATGATAATGATCATCAATTTTTGTATAGAATGTGGAGGCATTGATTCTGTAAAAGCTGGTTTATTTTTGTAAAGCAACTAGCTCTTGGATTATTAAATTGTTTTCTAGCATCTCCTTTAAAGAAGGAAAATAAGATGAAATTAAAATCCGTCAATTTTGTTTTCTATTAGAGGCTTTTATGAAGGATTCTGGGCAACAATTTACATAATATCTTTTATGTAGAGAAGAAGGTTATGACCTTGGTCTACCTCTCTAATCATATCTCCTCTTTTATACCCGTTAATTCATACCCCTCTCTTTTTTTTATATATTTTTATTGGTTTCAGAGAGGAAGGGAGAGCAAGAGAGAGAAACATCAATGATGAGAGAGAATCATTGATTGGCTGCCTCCTGCATGCCCCACACTGGGGATCAAGCATGCAATCTGGGCATGTGCCCTGACCGGGAATAGAACCATGACCTCATGGCTCATAGGTCAGTGCTCAACCATTGAGCCATGCTGGTGGGCATGCATAGGATTTTTTGTTGTTGTTAATCCTTACTTGAGGATATTTTTTCCATTGATTTTTTTTTTTGAGAGTGGAAGGGTGAGAGGGAGGGAGGGGGGGAAGGAAAAAGAAAGAGGGAAATTTTGACTTGAGAGAGACAAATTGATTGGTTGCCTCCACATGCCCTGACCAGGGACTGAACTTAAGTTTTAACATAAAATTTATGAAAATAACTTAATCCAAATTTACAATCTGACTTCAAGCTAAAAGAGTCAAAATGAGCTTTCCTTCCATTGTGTAAAGTTAAGAGTGACACAAACCTGCAACCCAGGTATGTGCCCTTGACCAGGAATCAAACCTGTAACCCTTTGGTGCATGGGCCGATGCTCTAACTATTGAGCAAGCCGTCCAGGGCAGTTATGTATAGGATTTTTAACAAATCCTTGGTAAAATAATTATTGAGTATTTGCTACGTGATACTCACTGTTCCTGCACTGCAGCTTTCTCCTCTGCCATATGCTGTGATACCACTTTTTACATATTCTGAATACAAGTCCTTCATTAATGTGCTTGGCGAATATTCCCTCCTAGTCTGAGTCTTTTCTTTTCTTTTTTTAACAGTGCCTTTCAAAGAGCAGTTGTTAATTTTGATTAATTCCCCAACATCCACTTGTTCTCAGATAGATTGTGCTTTTGGTATCATATCTAAGAAATCTTTGCCTCATCAGAGATCATAAGATTTTCTCCTATGTTAGCTTCTAGATGTTTTATAGTTTTAGGTTTGACATTAAGTCTTAACATTTAGGTCTAACTGCCATTCTGACTTAATTTTTTTATGTGATGTGAGATACGGAACAACGTCCAGATTCTGTAAAACCAACAGCTTTTGATTTTATTGTTGTTTGAAGAGTTGATTCCCCACTGCATTGCCTGTGCCCCTTTGTCACAGATCAGCTTTCCGTGTATGTGTTTCTTTAATCCTGGACTCTGTTCTGTTGATCTGTTTTCTATCTTTATGCTGGGCTGTTTGGATGACTGTACCTTTGTCAGTCTTGAAATCGCATAGTGTTAGCCCTCTAATTTGGTCCCTTTCAGGATTGTTTTGGCTATTTTACAGCCTTTGCATTTTCATATGAATTTTAAAGTCAGCTTTCCATCCTGTAAAACAGATGTTATTTTGAATAGAATTGCCATAAATCTATAGCTCAATTTGGCAAAAATGAAGATATTAGAAGCATTGAATCTTCCAATCCATCCACAAAATGTATCTCTCATTTATTTACTCTTTAATTTCTTTCAGAAATGCTTTGTAGTTTTCATTGAGCAGGTATTCCACATCTTTAGGTTTATCCTAAGTATTTCATATTTTTGATGCGATTGTAAGTGGTATTGTTTTTTATATTTTAGTTTCTATTTGTTTTTATTTATCATTGCTGTCCTATAAAAATACACTGGTTTTTATATACGGGTCTAGTAGCCTGCAAGTCTTGTTAAACTCACATATCAGTTCTAGTAGCTTTTTTTTTTAATGCTGTTGGATGTTCCACATGCCATTTGTGAGTAAAGACAATTTTAAATCTTACTTTCCAATCTGAATGTTCTTTATTTATTCTTCCCTAATTGCATTGGCTAGAACGTACAGTACAATGTTGAATAGAAGTTATGGAAGCCAATATCTCTATCTTGTTCCTGATCTTATGGGCAGCCATTTAAAATCCCCCCCCCCATTAATTGTGCTGTTATATATAACTTTTTTTTTGGTAGCTGCCTTTAAACAGATTGAGGAAATTCTTTTATAATTATCATTTCCTGAGAGTTTTTAACCTGAATAGATGTTGATTTTTGTCATATGGTTCTACATTGACTGAGATGGTCGTATGGTTTTTTGTTTTTCATCTTTTGACATTATGAATTACATTGATTCTCAAGTGTAGAAACCACCCTTGCATTCCTAGAATAAAACACTTGGTTAAAATGTATTATCTCGGTTCTATATTGATGGATTCCATTTGGTAATATTTTGTTAAGGATTTTTTACGTTTAGTTGTGTGAGAGAGATAGTCTGTAGTTTTGTTTTCTTTAGTAGTATCGTACTCTGGGTTTTGGTATCAGGGTAATGTTGGCTTCATAGAATAAGTTGGGGAGTGTTCCTTCAATTTTTAGAAGAGTTTGTATAAATTGGTATTATTTCTTCCTTAAACATTTGGTGGAATTTGTTATTGAAACCATCCGGGTCTGGAGTTTTCTTTGTGGAAAGAGTTTTAAATACATATTTACTTTCTTTAACATATATAGGGGCTATTGGGGTTACCCATTTCCTCTTGAATGAGCTTTAGTAATTGTGTCTTTCAAGGAATTTAGGTTGTTGAGCTTATTGGCATAAAATTAGAAAGTGTTCACTTGTTATCTTTCAGTACTTTAAAGACTATGTAGTGATGTTACCTCTCTTATTCCTGATATTGGTAATTTGTGTCTTCTCTTTTTTTCATGATTCGTCTGGCTACAGGTTTACCAATTTCATTGATCTTTGCAAAAAAATAGCTTTTAGTTTTGTTGATTTTTTTCTGTATTGTTTTACTGTCTTGTTAATGTTTGCTTTTATCTTTATTAATTCTTTTCTGTTTACTTTAGATTTAATTTGCTCTGCTTTCTCCAATTCCTTAAGATGGAAGCTGAAATTAACTTATTTGATCTCTTGCTTCTTTTCTATTATAGGCATTTAGTGCTAGAAATTGGTAAATGTTTTATGAGAAATTGAAACTCATGTATATTCTGTTCTTTTTGGGTAGAGTGTTCTAAAAATATCATCCAGGTTATGTTCATTGAGTCTAGTTCAAGTCTAATAAATTCTCTGAGATTGTCTGCTTGATAATTGTTAGATCAGTTATTGAGAGAGAGGGTATTGAATCTCTGACTTTAAGTGTCGGTTTTCTGTTTCTCTTCACAGTTCTATTAGTCTTTGCTTCACAGATTTTTAAAAATTTTACCAGTTTTTTGTTTTAAATATGTTTTTATTGATTTTAGAGAGAAAGGAAGGGAGAGGGAATAAGAAACATTGATATGAGAGTGAAACATTGATCAGCTGCCTCCTATACACCCGCTACTGGGGATTGAGCCTGCAACACGGGCATACGCCCTGACCCTGAATCTAACTGGAGACCTTTGGGTTGACGCTCAAACAACTGGGCCACACTGGCCAGGGCTACTTATGTTCTTATTTGATCTTGTAAAAGATCAAAGACATTCTTCTACATAACCACAATACTGTATCATCACTTAAGAAATTTGACTCTGACTGAACATATTATTTGATACATGTATAGTCCACAGTCAAATTTCCTGAGTTCTCTAAATGCCTTTTCTACTTTTTTGTCTTCCAAGTACACACCCAATCAAGGGGCATTTGTTGTACTTGATCATATGCATTCATGTTTCTTGAGCATCCTTTAATCTATAATAGCTATTATTCTTTTGTTTTGTTTTTTCCTTTCATGACATTGTTATTTTTGAAGAGAATAGTCCAGTTATCTTATAGAATATACCATCATCTAGATCTCTCTGATTGTTTCCCTCTGGTTAGATTGAGGTTAAACATTTTTGGTCAAGGATATTCAGTCTTCTCACTGGGTCATATCAGGAGGTTCATGATGTCAGTTTGTGTGATTATTGATGATTTAACTTAATCACTTGGCTAAGGTATTTTCTGCCTGACTTCCTTCCTGCGATTATTTCTTTTTAATTGAAAAGTATTTGGGGTTAATACTTTGTATTCCTAGAGAGTACTAAGCTATATGTGGACTAAAATAGTGGATTGTGTTCGTATCCTGTAACTTGATTCTAAATTCTCAAGGTGAGGAATAGGTTTGGGGCTCATATGGAAATATGGTGTGAATGGAAGGTTAGGGTGTGAAGTGAAGACTGACAGGTGGGAGCAGCTAGGACGGGAACAGTCGAAGGGTTTTAACCTGCTGTTGGTTGGGGTGATGCAATTGGATTTGAGTTTTAGGAAGACAGTTTTAGCAGAAATCAGGTGGGAGATTATTATGTCTGAGCTAACGATGATGAAAGTCTGACTCCAACACAGACAGAGAGGTTGGAGAAATAATGGACAGATTTTGGTGACGGGTTAAATGTTGGTTGTGGAGGATCGAGAGTATCTTGGTGACATAACATTTGATAGGATTGCCTGACTTACTGACTCGATCATGCTAAGTATGAGTTTAAAGAATTTAATTTTATAAAGTGTTACAGACACAGGGCCTTTTGGGTTCCCTTACAGTTTCTCTGAACTCTTTGTACTTACTCTACTTTTTTGAGGACTATTTGAATGGCATTAACAGCATGATCCTTTTTAGGGACATGATTTCTTTTGATGTTTCTACCCCAAATGTACATGTATACCTTTCAGCCTTTGGATAGGACAGAACAGATTTGGCCCAAGCTCTTAAAATTCTTTCACAAGGTAGAATCATAACAATTTTGTTGCAAATGATCTGTAAGGGACCTCTAGCTGTAAAATGTTGATTCTGTGGTGTATCTGTTTTTCTCTCGGATAGCACATTTGATTTCTTGAGAACTTTTTTTTTTCAAATATTTTTTTTATTGCTTAAAATATTTCAACGAGTAGTACATTTGTCTCCTTTTTATTTTTTTGATTTCCTGAAAACTTTTAATGTTTTTCTTCCTCTCTGTGTTTTTCTAAGATGTTCTCAGTGCAGCTGAGCCTCGGTGAGCAGACCTGGGAATCGGAAGGGAGCAGTATCAAGAAGGCCCAACAGGCTGTTGCTAGTAAAGCTTTGACTGAATCGACGCTTCCCAAGCCAGTTCAGAAACCGCCCAAAAGCAATGTGAATAATAACCCAGGTATGAGCAGACTCATCCCCTCTGTCCTGCTGTGTGTTCTATGTGTGCCGTCTCTGTCCGTTACAGCAGGCCAGTTGTGTAGCCAGCAGGTGTGTTAATAGTACATCTGAGAAAGACGGGTGGATGATAACTGCGCGTGAGAGAATGAAGAAGGTAATTGTAATTAATTTTAAATGTTGCCTTAGTGGATACTATCATGGTGCATTACTGACTTTTTCTTTCTTTTCTTAAAAATATTTTTTATTATTGATTTTTTTTGAGAGAGACAGAGGAAGGGAGAGGGAGAGGGAGAGAAACATCGATGTGATCTATCGGTTGTCTCCTGCATGCCCCACACCGGGGATTGAGCCCACAACCTGGGCATGTACCGTGACCAGGAATTTTCAGAATCAAACCAATAACCCTTCAGTTCATGGGACTGATGCCCGATGGAGCCACACCAGCCAGGGCCATTACTTATTTTTTAATCTTGGGCGAAAAGAAATTTGGATACAAAGAACAGAAATAAGATTGAATTTTTTCCTAAAGTTAAGATAGAAATGATCAATTTTTCTTTTTAAATATATCATATAAAATTTAATAATTAAAATGGTTATTCTTTTTTTTAGTTTAATAAAAAATTATAAAATTAGCCTAAGCATCTTCTTACTCTGTTTGTTGGTGTTGAAATGATTGATATTCAGTTTAGGACATTTGTATGAAATTTAGTAAAAAAAACCCACAAATAAAAAAAAAAGCAACCCCACCTGTGTTTAATATAATGAATGTTCTAATTTTAAGCTCCTACTAATAATTTTTTAAAATATATTTTTATTGATTTCAGAGAGGAAGGGAGAGGGAGAGAGAGAAATATCAATGATAAGAGAGAATCATTGATCAGCTACTTCCTGCATGCCCCCCACTGGGGATCGAGCCCTCAACCCGGGCATGTGCCCTTGACCGGAATCGAACCTGGGACCCTTCAGTCCGCAGGCTGACGCTCTGTCCACTGAGCCAAACCAGCCCGGGCTCCCACTAATAATTTAAAAAAGTTGTTCTGCATATATGCCAACAACATTATATGTCCAGTAATCTGTTGGGAAGAGGCAAACCTGTATGGGACATAGTGCAATTCACAACATCAAATTAATAAAGTTTCAGAAGTTTAGTACCAGCCCTACATCCCTTTACTTATTCGTTAACTTATTAATTCACGTGGTTACCTCTGACCCATATTGCTTTAGGTGTTTTTGTGGTGGAGTACAAAAAGACATTTTGCCTGCCAACAGTGACCCTATAATCTGTTTAATTATAGTTTACACGCTTATGTTTGTAATCAAGGCAGACACATCTTGTGCTCACGTGGCACCTGTTAGATAAGACAATCTCCTTTTGCAAGGACTGTTCTTTCCAGAACTTCATGACTTGCCTATTGCTAGGCCTTTGGTTTCTGTCCAGCTGAGTCTAGTATTTCTGAAGTAAGTTTAAAGAAGCCAAACTATTATTATAATAAAGAAAAAAAAAACTGTTCAGTTTGAAGTTGATAAGAGGCTACCTACTTATTTAATTTTTAAAATCTCTTTAGATTACTGGTTGATCATTAGGACGCCACCACTACTTCTGTTTGTTAAGAACTTACTTGTATACATAGATCTAAGAAGTATATAAAATGTAAGATTTTACGGTCATTTACATGAATCACATAACTCAGTGGTAAAGTGAATAATAACAGCCATTGGTGCTGTAAGTCATGGTAACACGGCTGGAGGTAGTTGAGGTGAGATGTGGGCCTTGACTGGAGTGTGGGCAGGCATGGAGGAGAGGAAGGAAGACTCTGTTCTGAGGAAAGGCATTGGAATTGGAATCTGGATAATTGGTTTGTTTTTAAAAAAAGTTGTAGATGGTTTTTAGTTAGAACAGGTAAGTGACCATTATGAGATAAGACAGGAGATGTAGCCCAGCTGGTGTGGCTCAGTTGGTTGGTGTGGTCCCATGCACCAGAAGGTCCCAGTTCGATTCCTGGTTAGGGCACATGCCCAGATTGCAGGCTCAATTCCCGGGAGGGGGCATGAGGGAGGCAGCTGATCGATGTTTCTCTCTCTTTGATGTTTCTCTCTCGCCCTCTCCCTTCTTCTCTCTGAAATAAATTAAAAAATATATATCCTATATAATAAAAGGCTAATATGCAAATCGACCGAATGGTGGAACAACTGGTTGCTATGACGTGCACTGACCACCAGGGGGCAGATGCTCAACATAGGAGCTGCCTCCTGGTGATCAGTGCGCTCCCACAGGGGGAGTGCTGCTCAGCCAGAAGCTGGGCTCATAGCTGGCAAGCACAGTGGTGGTGGCGGGAGCCTCTCCCACCTCCGCGGCAGTGCTAAGGATGTCCGACTACTGGCTTAGGCCCGCTCCTGCGAGAGGGTGCAGGCCAGGCTGAGAGCCCCTCCCCCCCCCCGCAAGTGCATGAATTTTCTGCGCTGAACCTCTAGTATATATATATAAAAGACTGAAGATGTATTTAGGGAGTGGATTGTGATGGACTTGAGTGCCAGCTTTAGGAGATCAAGTTTTATCCACACAGCAGGTCCTCAATTACCTCGTTTCGTTAGGTGCTGCAGGAAGTTCACGCTCGTGTATATCACTTAGCTCTGGGGAATTGGCTTCCTCATACAGGTTTCCATGTAGCTTAAAGTCGAAGACCCTATGGGCGATGTTAAAGGAGGACTTAGGTAGTTTGGTGGATTAATGTTTACGAGCTGGTGGATGATATGTTTAAAAAAGCATTTTAGAAAGTTCAGTTTGACATGTAAATGGAAGGCAGAAAATACTAAAAACACGATCAGTTAGGAAACCCCTGCCATCGTTTATGGGTGAAGAAAGAAGAAAAGAAACTCATGTGCATTGAGTTCTGTCTGCTCCTGTGCTGTGTTGGGAGTGGCGGCCGGAATGGAGCAGGACAGGAGTTCCTGACCCCGTGGCTGCTGCCGTGCGAGTGCGGTGCTCTCCAGGGTGGGTGGTGTGAATGGAGCAAGAGTGTGTGTGCCGAGCTCTGGGTCAGACCCACCTCGAGGGTGATTGCAGGAGGCACAGCGGCCAGGGAGCCAGAGGAAGGAAGCAGGACCGAGCCTGAGGGCCAGTGGAGATGCATTTCCACTGTTAGAAGTGGCAGTGAGCTGAGAGAATGAGTAGATTTGGGGGGTAAGCTTTTAAAATGGAGTATAATCGATGTACTGGCAAGTGCACGCATCCCGGTTGGAGAGCCCTGATGGGTCTTGGCTCTTTGATCGCTTTTCCAGTTCCACAGGCTCTACCAGAGCCCCAGCCCTTCCCAGTGGTTACGCAACTCCACAGGGAGCATTGCTCTGCTTTCTGCCGTCTTACATTCACTGTGCCTCCTCGTGGAGCCATCCACCAGAGAGCTCGTTTTTCTCACTGTCATGCTTGTGAGAATGACCTGTGCTGTGCTTAACAGCGTAATATTCCATTGCTCTGTAGCAGGGATGGCGAACCTTTTGAGCTCGGTGTGTTAGCATTTTGAAAAACCCTAACTTAACTCTGGTGCCGTGTCACATATAGAAATTTTTTGATATTTGCAACCATAGTAAAACAAAGACTTATATTTTTGATATTTATTTTATATATTGAAATGCCATTTAACAAAGAAAAATCAACCAAAAAAATGAGTTCGCGTGTCACCTCTGACACGCGTGTCATAGGTTTGCCGTCACTGCTCTATAGTGTCCCGTTGCATGAATATCCCAGTTTACTTAGTCATTGTACGATTGATGGACAGTTCGATTGTTTCCAGTTGGGGCTGTTATTTAGAACTAATACTGTGGTGATCATTCTTGTACACATACGTCTCTGTTGGGGATGTACCTAGGATTGCAATGGCTGAGTCATGGTTAGGCACGTGTTCATGCTTAAATCACATCAGAAGATGAATTAAGGCCAGAAGTCGATGCACGCCACAAAAAAGACAGGTGTTCTTCCATCACAAGCTTCCGTTTCTACATCTGTTGGAAAAAATGAGAAAGCTCTTTAGGCATCAATTAGACGCACTAAAGAAGCCAACAGAGTTTTGGCCAAATTGAATAGTGAATTGCAGCAACAATGAAAGGATGTTCTTTTTTAAAAATATGTTTTTATTGATTTCAGAGAGGAAGGGAGAGAGTCAGAAACATCAACGATGAGAGAGGACCACCGATGGCAGCCTCCTACATGCCCCTGCTGGGGATCCAGCCTGCAACCCGGGCATGTGCTCTGTCAGGGAATCAAGTCAGTGACCTCTTGGTGCATGGGCTCCAGACGCTCAACCACTGAGCCACACTGGCCAGGCACCACAGTGATTTTTTTCTTTTGTGATTTAAAACAACAGAAATATTCTCTCCCAAAGGGTGATTTTTACATTACAATATTCTTTTTAGGTTTAATAGTTGGCATTCTACCCAAGAGCTTTTCTTCCCCCCCTTTTTTCATTTGTTTATTTATGTATATCACCACAGATTCCTGCATTCCTATTTTACTTAGAGGCTTGCAATCTGTCATTTATTTTGATTCTCAACTTGTCCCAGATTTGGCCAGTGGTATGGCCCCTTCCAGTTAATCCCCGTGTCCTTCTGCTATTTCCCCCTCATTCTTTGATCATTTCTTACTTTCTGGTACAATAGCTGTTCTAGGCCGACTTGCATTTTCCTGGCCCTGGCCCTAACCCTGGTGCCAGCCAGTTCTCCAGGGAGCCCTGAAATCCATTCGTTCTTTCAACAAATATTTATTGAGTAACTGCTATGTTCTAGGGACTGTTCTAACTTCCTACAAAGCTGTGGCCTCAAGTGTCAGTAATATGTGGCGATTTTCTTTCACCTGTCACATACTAGAAATCCACGATTGTAGCTATAGACGTTTGTGTATCTTATTAATTAGCCTTTTTATATTAACCACTGATAAATGTAGAAATTTCCTTTAAAGTGGCTAAAAACCACTGAAAAAGGATCCTGTGTTTATAGTGTTGTTTATAGCCATATCCTACATGAGGATTCCTGTGTAACGATTATCTTTATGTAGCCTGTGCCCAACTGGCCTATGCTGAAAGTAATGGTACTGACCATTACCTGGAGGTGTCTCAGTTTGAAGTTACTCTTTGGCTGTTTTATGGGAAAACATCACTGCCTTAGTCTAGTTCTTGGTGAAACAGTAGGAGCTACTTTCCTCTAGACGAGAGGAACCTTTTCAGCACGGTTTGTGCTTTTCTGCTCACCTTCTCTCCTTCACCCCAAGACCCTCTGTGACCTTGAGGCTGTTGGTGTCTGTGCGATTAATCCAAAGGAGAACTCGAAATGACATAAATCTTACACCTGATTTACATGTTAATTATTAAACTGAAGTCTTCCTGAAGAACATGGTAAGCTTTTAAAGGCAGACTGCTCTTTGTTGTTGATAAAAATCTTTGGAAAACTGTTAGGCAGTCCATAATAAAGTTAAATATAAACCTACTCTGTGACCTAGCAGGTCCACTGCTAGTATACACACCCAGGAGAAATGAGTGTATGAACTTATTTTAAAAAGTTCAAGGTGGCTTTTCACTTAATAGCCCCAAACCGGAAACAATCCCAGATGTCCCATCGATAGCAGATTAGATAAACTGGTATATTCTTTCATTGGAATATTCAGTGATGAAATATAGTTTGAAATACTGATATATGCAACAAAAATCATTATGTCGAGTGAAAGAAGCAAGACAAAAGGATTCATATTCAGCTTCGAAGGACAAAACTGATCAATGATGACAGAGGTCAGAATAGGTAACTTGGGGAGGTAGGTCTTGACTGGAAAATGGCATGAGGAACTTTCCGGGTGATGGAAACGTTCGTATCTTGATCTGAGTGGAGGTCACATGAGTGTTTACATGTGTAGTAATTCATGGAGCTGTATGCTTGAGGTTTGTAAAATACTGAAGGAATGAAAGACAAAAGGAAATTCCTTCATGCTTGACTTTCTCTTCCTCTGCCCCGTGCATATGGATTAAATTAGGGATTTGGACTAATTCAATCTATTAACTTTGCTTTTTTTCTTATTCTTTCCCACCTCTTCCTTTGTCCTTCACTCCCTATATTTTCCCCTCTTCTTAACCTTGGTTTATCCTTGTTCCTTTAAACTCTTCCATGGTTTCACACGAATTCTTTAGCGGTGAGACCCAGTGAGTAGGTTCTTGAGTCTTGGTGGGTTGCTCGCAGCCTGGCTGCCAGGAGTGCATTTGGGTCAGCCCCCACCCCTTTGCTGGTGCTCTGTGCCGGCCCCGGGTTCACTGTGGCAGGAACTGGACCCAATTTTGTATGTGATGAATGGAGTCTTAAACGTACTGTGCACAGAATTTACATTGCAAATAAATTTTACTTTCTAGGAAAGCTTTAGATTTATTTTTGTGATTTGTTACATGGAACATATGTACATATATTTTATTAAATAACTTCTTTTGGTACTTAAAATAACTTGACATAATAATTTTACATTGTGTATTATTCGAACTTGTACTAGAATAGAGAGAATAAGATAGCGAATATCTCTGTACCCATCCCCAGCTTCAGCGGTTATCCACACATGATGGCCAATCTTGTTTCATTTTTTTAAATCCTCACCCAAGGATATTTTTTCCAGTGAATTTTAGAGAGAGTGGAAGGGAGGGAGGAGGAAGAGAGAGAGAGAGAGGGGAAGAGAGAAAGAGAGAGACATCAATGAGAGAGAGATACACACACATCAGTTGGTTGCCTCCTGCACACACCCTGACCAGAAGGGGCATCGGGGATTGAACCTGAAACCAAGGTATATGCCATTGACAGAAATTGAACCGAAGACCCTTCAGTGCACAGGCCAACGCTCTAACCACTGAGAACACCAGCCAGGGCCAATTTTGTTTCTTATCTCTCTCCTCTGAGTTATTTTGAAACTAATCTCAGATATATCACTTCATCCATGCATGCTTCCGTGTGTATCTATGAAGATTATCTACAGAAAGCATTACGTACTTGTATTCCTTTGTCCTGTTGTTGGTTATAGAAAAAATTCAAAATTTATTTTCATTAGACAAATCCAAGAATTACTGATGACTGTGTTCCTTGCTAATTTTAGTTGCTTGATTGCCAAAGATAAGTAAAAATATTCACAGGTGATGGTGTTTAATGACTAGATAATTGTAAGTTTTCTGGGATAAGTAATGATGAAATTCAAACCTTTCTTAATATCTGAATTGAGCAATCTGTAAAACTTGTGTTTGCCTTGTTTTGAAATAGTATCACTATAAAGTTGAGTTTTGGGTCATTCATTACTGTACAGAAAAGGTTGCAAAACCCCAGATTCCAGATTTCATTTGGAACGATTTTCCTGTTTATGTAGTTTGGTTATGCACTCCCTTAGAAAGGCAGACCTACTTCCAGGGTGTTTACATGTAATATAGATAGGGCTGGCACGATTCATTAGGGAAATATTTCACCTGTGTGCCTTTGACATGTGTCTTCACAGGTAGTATCACTCCCACGGTGGAGCTGAATGGGCTTGCCATGAAGCGGGGAGAGCCTGCCATCTACAGGCCGCTGGACCCAAAGCCCTTCCCAAATTACAGAGCTAATTACAACTTCCGGGGCATGTACAATCAGAGGTGTGTCTCTTTCTGGTTTTGTTCTTATTTGTTAGTTTATGCATGTGGTAAACGTTTCTGAAACTCAAGGAGTGTTTTCATTGTAAAGAATATTGACTTCAGGCATATTTCATGGGACTTAGATAAATCAGACTCACAGGAATATTTCACTTAAAAAATAACTGGTTTTCAGGAGCTGGTTTTTGTAGAGTCACGAGACCCCTGTGTTTGCTTTGGGCGTGACCATGTTTTAAAGTCATTCCACAGTCTAGTGCTGACCGCCCAGTTGACTTGCTCATTTCCTCACCAAGCAGGTGGTTAGCTTAATTAGTGTTTTCCTTATTTTGTCTGAATATATTGCAAGCATGGGTGCTTCTAATTTTTTTAAAGACAGTTTTTCATGGTGGATAAAAGCTATGAAATTATAGGACACATCTATGAAATTTAGTACTGTGAAAAGGAGTAAGAGCCTACTTAAATTCTCTCCTGTAAGAGTTTTAATAATTTATAAAAAATTCGTTGGGAGGATTTACAAAGTCTTTCTGTACATTACATAATTTTGTGATAGTTATAAGTGTAACAATTTTATAAGCATGGCAGGATTTTTAAAAAGGTTTATAACTTTTTTTCTGATCATTTGTAAAAGTAATTTAACTCATTATAGAGGATGTGAAAAATGCAGAAAGTTAAAAAGAAATTATAAATAATTTGCAATCCCAGATTTAACCACCTTTAATATTTTGGTGTACTTTGTATATATTTTATACTTTACATATAAATATATTTAACCAAATTGGAGTTACCCATAATATGCAGTTTCTATAGTACTTCACGGAGGTTTATGTGAATGATAAAATGTACAAACCTTAAATGTACATCTGGATGACTTTATTTGATTATCTTATTTATGTATATATGTAATTATAGTTTATTTGATGACTTTTTACCTGGGTGAATTCTCATTTGTCACCATCCCCCCTGGGAGTCTCCTCCTCCCGCCTCCCTCCTCCCTGAAGTAACCACTCTTCTGTCTCCATAGACTGGTTTTGCCTGTTACTGAACTACATATAACTAGACTCATACAGTATTTAATCTTCTGTATCAGACTTTTTTCACTTTATGTGATGTTTTTCTTGGTTTCTTTGTTTACTTTTCTTTTTAGAGATTCATCCATGTTGGGTTTTGCTCTTTTTTATTGATGAATAATGTTCCTTTTTATTGAGGAATAATGTTCCTTTGTATGACTATATCATAATTTGTTCATCTCATATATGTAACATGGCCTTCTTTTCACTTAATATAGTGATCATTTTTCATATCTTTAAGTAATCTTCAAAAAATCTTTTTCATGGGTATTAATGCTTTATATGGCCAAGGTATACTTTATAAGTATATAAATAGATATAAACAATGAATATTTTATAAGTATACAAACAAAACATACCTCTTTTGATCATTTAGGTTTCCTTTTTTATGATAGTTATAAATAATGCTGCAGTAAACTGTCTTTATATACAGATTTTTGTTTATATCACTGATTATTTCTTTAAGATACATTACTGCAAGGGGGTATTGGATTAAAAGAATATCGTTTTGCCCAATTACATTAAAGTTTTTACTAATTTCTTACAGCATATTCCATTGCATTCTGAAAACACAAATTGGGTTTGAACGCATTGTCTTGTTTGACAGTTAAAAAGTGGAATGTTTTTAGATTTTGGTTTTATTGATTACTTGTGAGACTCAACAGTTTTTCAAATATTTATTAGTTGCTTTTTTTTTTTTTTGACTTGTCTTTTTGAGTTTGCTAACTTGTATTGCAGTGCTTGACCAACCTTCAAATGTTTACGTGTTGGGGGTATTACATTAATTATTTGTTTAATTTTCCTGCTTAAAAAAATTGGCTAGTTTTGTGTTTGTTTTGTGTAATATACTACAATTTTAAATGTTACATGGTCTAATCTGTTAATTATATTTTTGTTATATCTTTCACTACTTTTATGTCTAAGGAATTTTCACATGTGATCAGATATTTGCTGATGCTCTGAAATTTTTTTATTGAGGTATAATTGTTGTGTAACATTGTGTAAGCTTAGGGTGTTGGACATTGATTTGACACATTTATATTGCGCTATAATTGCCATTGTAGTGTTAGCTAATATCTCTAGCATGTCACATAATTATCGTTTCATCTCTGGATGGGCTGCTGATGCTTTTCAAATCATTTCGTATATTTACTGATATCACAGACTCAGATGTGAGGAGAAGATATTTATTTGGTCTATACGTAATCTGATATTTTTTGGTGTCTTGCTTGGTAATGGAAAAATTACTATTTAATCCTACTTATACTGTAAATAACTCGTTTAACTATTGCTCAGGTTCTCTGAGAAAACCCTTTGAGACAATCTCGTAGACTTCTGCCCCTCCCCCCTCCTCCAGGGGTGTCTGGGGAATTGACTGTCCTGTCCCTGTGGGAAGGGAGGGCCCTCGTGTCTGCCTGGGGGCCTGCATTGTGCTCTGGCTCCTCTGGTCTTTGTGGTGATGTCCCTTGTCCATGGGTAGCTGGCGTCTATCTTGCCTGCCCTGCCGAAACCTGCACGTGGTGATCGTGGGCGGTTGCCTCCTCCTAAGTACCCCTCCCGAGGATCTGCCTTCTTTCCCGGCCGCCCGCCGTGGCCCACACCTTAGCTCTCCTTGGCTCCCTGGGATGCTGCTCCATCCCTCTGTGTCCTCTCCAACCATGGAGCATCCTGTGGCGTCTACACCGCGTAGGAGGCAAAAGGGACATCACATTTGTCCTATAGTTGCCTCACTTTCTCTTCTTCTGTATAACATACCCGTTCCCTTTCTTGTCAGTCCGAGTTTACCTAATACAAATGAAACTACTTGCCTACTTGAGTTAGGAACCTCGTCTATTTTATGTTTGCAAGATAGTTAACTTTTAATGTGCTATAACGAATAGACTCATGAGGACATTATACTTAATAGACTCATGAGGACATTATACTTAAATGTTTATTGATTTTGATGTCTATAATCCTGTATTGGGCTTTTGCTAGAATTTTGATTAGTGTATTTATTGCCTATTTTTTATTTTCGTGTTGTACTATCATTGACGTATATTATAATTTATTACTTTCGAATGAAAGAAATCTGGTGGGAAAGCAGTGAGACATCTGACATTAATCTCTGTCCTTAGGAGCTCATGTCCTAGTGGGGGAGGCAATCGTCAGTAAGAGGCGGTTACTCACTGAGACAGTGACAGTGTTAATAAAGAGCTGAAGGAAGAGAGGGAATGAGCAGTGGGGATGGCACTGGAGGGAGGAAGGGCGTTCCAGGCAGAGAAACGCCTAGTGCAGTGATGGCGAACCTTTTGAGCTCGGCGTGTCAGCATTTTGAAAAACCCTAACTTAACTCTGGTGCCGTGTCACATATAGAAATTTTTTGATATTTGCAACCATAGTAAAACAAAGACTTATATTTTTGATATTTATTTTATATATTTAAATGCCATTTAACAAAGAAAAATCAACCAAAAAAATGCGCGTTTCACCTCTGACACGTGTGTCATAGGTTCGCCATCACTGGCCTAGTGCAAAGGCCCTGTGGTGCTGAGTGCCCGGCAGCAGTGTCCTGAGTGCTGGTGCCTCCATTGGGCCAGAGGGGTGGGAAATGAGGATGTGACAGGGGTCAGGGGTTTGCTTTGATTTTATCTTTTCTGCTTTAGATCTTCTGCTAAGAACGCTGGCATTTTTCCTTTGTCGGCAATTCCTAGTTTCAGGATCTGATTCCGTGGTTGTCATGAAGTTGCAAGGATTTGATTTGACTTCTCCAAAGGGTTGTGCCTTCGGCCATTTCCATGTAGTGGATAAAGCGGGCTTTCCCTTCAGGTTTTTGGAGGGTGTGAGTCACTAAAAGGGCAAGAAGAAAGGAGGGAAGCCGCCAGGCCATGTTTTACAAAAGCTCTCCGCTCCCTAAGGCCAGACCTCACCGCTGCTCGGTTAGAATTAGGATACCGCAGAGGAGCTTCATTTGCAGAGGACGCCACCCGCATGTGTTACAGGGAACTCGGAGCCAAAGATTCTAGGAGACGCTTCTTGTCAGATTCCCGGTGAGTCGGCAGCTTCCTAATAGGGCAGGGAATGAGAGGTGAAGGAGTTTAAGAAACAGGTAGCATTTCCAGGGATTTCCGAAAAGGTCCTTTCGTTTTCTACTTAAAATAATCTTAAGCAATAATTAGAAATTGCCCAGGCTGTTTTGTAGTTTTTTAAGTCTGTTCTTTCCTGATGAGGTTCCTCCACCTGCATCATTTCAGAGGCTAAGGAGAACCTCATCAACAGGCCTTTTCCTCCCCCAACCCCTTTCCTGACGCTGGAGGAAAAAGAGATGATTATTCTCACCTGGACTCTGAAGCCCCGGTCTCCCTTTGCTACCCCCAAGATGTTTGAAAATGAGTACATCCAGTTACATCTTTTTTCTTTTCCTTTCTCATTTGGAGCCCTGTTGGCTAACATATAAAGTTGAAAGCATCCACAAATTTATATGACCAAGTACAAGATGTAAAGATTGGAGAGCATTTTGTGCTTTTGTTCTCCCAGCTTTGTTACAAAAAAGTATACACGTTATCTCAAGGAACAGGATGGTTAAGATCAGGCCTCCAACAGCTTGTCCACTTTGTATATTCACAGATGAAAAGAAGAGCATTATTGGTTGGCTGAAGCCAGAGGGCCCGGTGTGCTGACGCAGGCTGCCCATCTCAGGGTGGCCCATGTGGAAATGGGGGTTTTGCCCCGTGTGACTGAAGGTCTGGCGGGGAGACCTGTGGGCGTGGTTGGATGCAGGGCTTTAGTGTTGCTCATCTCATTTTTCTTCCGCTTGACTTTATTTTCAAAGAAACTCGCTTCCATTAGCTATACCTCGTGTGATACCAGCCCCTCGACTTGTCACCTGGAGAAGGAGAAAAAGGTTTTGGTTTTGGATTGTTCTTAGAAAACACACACACACACATACACACACAC